AACAATTCTGTGTCTGTCCCTGAGTAACAATTCTGTGTCCCTGAGTAACAATTCTGTGTCCCTGAGTAACAACAGTTCTGTGTCCCTCAGTAACAATTCTGTGTCCCTGAGTAACAATTCTGTGTCTGTCCCTGAGTAACAATTCTGTGTCCCTGAGTAACAATTCAGTTCTGTGTAACCCTGAGTAACAATTCTGTGTCCCTGAGTAACAATTCTGTGTCCCTCAGTAACAGTTCTGTGTCCCTGAGTAACAATTCTGTGTCCCTGAGTAACAATTCTGTCCCTGCGTCCCTCAGTAGTAACAATTCTGTGTCCCTGAGTAACAATTCTGTGTCCCTGAGTAACAATTCTGTGTCCCTCAGTAACAATTCTGTGTCTGTCCCTGAGTAACAATTCTGTGTCCCTGAGTAACAGTTTCTGTGTCCCTGAGTAACAGTTCTGTGTCCCTGAGTAACAGTTCTGTGTCCCTGAGTAACAATTCTGTGTCTGTCCCTGAGTAACAATTCTGTGTCCCTCAGTAACAATTCTGTGTCCCTCAGTAACAATTCTGTGTCCCTCAGTAACAATTTCTGTGTGTGTCCCTGAGTAACAGTTCTGTGTCCCTGAGTAACAGTTTCTGTGTCCCTGAGTATCAAATCTGTGTCCCTCAGTAACAATTCTGTGTCCCTCGTAACAATTCTGTGTCCCTCAGTAACAATTCTGTGTCCCTGAGTAACACAGTTCTGTGTCCCTGAGTAACAATTCTGTGTCCCTAAGTAACGATTCTGTGTCCCTAAAGTATCTGTGGCCCTAACTCTGTCCCTAATACAGAGAGGTCTGTCTCTCTTGAATGACCGGAGGCAAATGGAGAATTGTAAGATGGCCGCAATTTTATAGCTCCACCATTACACAGTGCTGGCTGGCTGGCTGCTGATTGGCTAATGCGATCACATGTCATGAATGAATGCATTATGGGTCAGCGCGCCTTGTCTGCGCGCCTTCCCAGAGATCCCCGCTCCGTCGCCACACATGTCGCCGCCATTTTTGGAAAAATTTCGATTCGCGCATCCGAAGTATGCTAATCAAATTTTTCCTAATATTCGAAACGACTTCCACACTTCGCCAAGTTCGATTCGCTCATCTCTAGATATGGCGATAGCAACAAAGTCAAAGTAACTGCAATCTCTGAAGATGAACCATTTTAAAGGGTAGCAGCAGCAGGGGAGGAATCACATTCCAGCATCTGTCTTGATCAATTAACTCCCATGGGTCAACATCAAAGAACAGACCCTAGGCTGGTCCTCTGCAGAAGTACTTACACCCATATACACAAGATATGACACATCTGCAGCCACACATGGCTTGACCCTGCAGTAATCAGCCAAATAATAATTAAAGTGACGCTGTACCAACATCATAACACAGGCATAACATAACAAATTAAAGGTACACAATAGCTCTGCTCTCTATAAAACGATTCTATCGAATGGTTAACATTATTCTGCCTAAGTATAAGCTGATCTATAAAGGTCGGGTCTGCCATATACAGTTCACAAAAATCTGGCAACCTTGGTTGGACATATCAGACTCTTTCTGGGGAGATACTCCCTTATCACAGTCACAGGGTTCTATGACCTGAGTAATGGAGGTTATGGGCTAGCAATCTCTTCTGTCGTGTATGGGCAATGTATGGCGCAGGTGTTGGTGTATGGATGTGTCTGTTGAGTATGTATAGCTGTGTGTTGTATGTTTTTTCATTGTTTGTCTGCCATGCTATTTTTTTTCTATCTCTAATTGTCATTGTTTTCTGTAAGGGGCTCATAGCCTGGTAATAACTTGATTCCTGCTTCCATCCCCTCTCCATGTAACCCTTACCCCTATGTTTTGGTTTGGGGTTCCTTTTGTCATTTGTCTCTCTTTCTGTTATTTTACTTGTTTTATAAAAGCAAAATAAATAAACACCTTTTTTTTAAAAAAAAGGTACATAATAGGCACCTGCCTACAGGGATTTCTGAACAAACTAAACACCATTTCTCATTACAAGTTTTGCGCTGAAATGTTCTTTCTACACATAGTCCAAATATCTAATTGAAAGAACTCCCTTCAGGATATCATGAAACGTTCATTATACTAAATGGTGCAATAGTAAAAACCTTAAAGGCACCCTGGGTAGACTGAATATTCTGTAAACCAGTCTCTCCTGATCTCAGGCTAATAGGTCTATCATTGGCTCCCTAGTGTCAACTGTTCCATAGAGGTTAAGTGGCATATGGGTGGCCTATGGAACACTGGACAGTGAGGATAACTAAAGTTTACTATCCATAGATTTTCTGCAATTCCTCTGACATACATGGTGATATTGTTTTCCTTAGGCTAGCCATACATTAAGCAATTTTCTTTCCTTTTAAGTATTGGTTGAAAGAAAAAAAAAAATCACTTAATTCCTACATCAAAACTCACAGTGTTGCTGGGGGAATCCCTCCCGTTGTGTTATTGTGTTCTGCCAGCAGGATGTTTCCCCACTGTCAGAATACAATGATTACTGCTGCTGGCTATAGTTGGAAAAAAAAAAACCAGACAGGCTGGTCAGTCGATAGATTGATTTCAGTACAATTAGTCTGTCATAGATGGATGGAATTTCAATCTGTCTATGGTCAGCTTTCGTTTAGCTTCAAAATGTTTAAAGAAAAAAATGGTTGGCATTCCATGTAATGCATTAAACCTCTCACCTGTAACAACTTTACTGTGTAGTGCATTTCATGGAGACAGTACATGGTATTGTTTTATTGATGCCAATTTTAATAAACATTTATATGCTAAGAAAAAATCATCGGGTTGCACATATTCACATATTTATTACAAAAGGAAAAATCCAGGAAGTCAAAGGTTTTCATCTGTCTCTATTTGTGCTCAAGCTCTGCCAAAATCATATCATGTGACAGGAGTTCTCTCTCCCTTTGGAGAATAAGTGTTCCTTCTGTCATCTGCCATTCCTCATATGTCCTTGAAAGTGTAGAAACTGACAAGGTTCTGTGTAGCTGATTCTTCATAGCATATCGCAGTAGAATTTTCCCTCTGACCAAACTGACAGTCTCTTGCACATGGCTTGCATTTAACTGACAGCCTCATGTGTGCCTCCCCTCACTCTTCTTAAAGTGCATGTAAACCTTAAAATTGATATTTTACTAGAGCATTCCTTTTTATGACATATTGTCTCTTGTGCCACTATACTCCAATTTGCTATCAAATACCTGGTGATCCTGCCAGTTCCATGCTGGTGTGGTCAGTTTGTATCCTTAAGATTGCCAATCAGATCTACAGAACACTGTGCAAATACAGGGCTTGCCTGCAGCTCCATAGTCTGTTTTGCCACCCCACCACTCCTCCCAACCCTGTTCTGCTTGTATGACAAGGGTTCCTAGCAGGAGCTTCTTTGTCAATACAGTAAGCTGCATTGCCTGTTCAGAGCCCTCAGGCACTGGAAACAAGTGTCATAAACTTGGGAAGAAGGACAGGTAGGGAGACTGTGCAGTCATGTGACAGCAAAATAAAACAGAAAATAAAATGTATAGAAATTATTTTTTTTAAACAGGAATTTAAGTTACAGAAAACTGATTTAAAGAGACTACTGTGTTTTTTTATTTAGTGAACTTCACACAGATTTGCTGTGCCATCTCTCCTGCGTCCAGATTTCACAATATACAATATGTGTGCCTTCTTTTCCTTCACCAACATTGACTCCTGAAGTTAATATTACTCTGTTTAATTTGTCCATATGTCTTTTACAACAAAGTGGTGGACAACCTCCTGTTAGAAATCTCTTAAAGTGTTACTAAACCCACAACAGTAAAATCAGTCTGTATAAGCAGTAAAGCATTTTTGGTATGCTAACCGTGGAACCAAAGGGATTAAATCCTCTGCATTGTGTAAAAAGGCTCTTTAATCCTGTTTTGTCTGCCCCTCCTCTTATTCAGATGTCCACCTGATAAGAAGACTGAACCCGTAACCACATGCACATGCTCAGTTTAGTGTGTATTGCTAGAAAGGTTTGTTTTTTTTTTCTTTGGGAGAGTGTATGTGTTCAGCGCAGGGCCAATCAGCACTGTCCAGACAGAGGTCAGGGGTTTTGCATCCTCCTAGAGCAGAATGAAAGCTCCTCCTACAAGCTTTAACCAGTTCTCTCTGCTCGACACTGATAGAAGCCACAAGACTGCTCTAACTAACGAGAAAAGTTATTTAGCAGTTTATATTTACTAAAATAATTGAAATTTCCATGTTCTGTGTACTGTGGGAGACAAGATATTGTGAATGCAGGGTCCTGGGTTTCATAACACTTTAACTGCACAAGGCCATCTGCAATATTGCAGAGGACATATTAACAAATGTTCCTACCAATGTGATGGTGAAAGACATATGTAGTTGAAACTTTGGAATAAATGCAATAGAACTCAATGTACAGTACCTTAAATACATGATCTAGGACAGTCATTTACTGTACATAGATATCTTTTTGCTCCTTGGAAAAGCAGAATAAATGCTTCCATTATCTCTATATACAAACTCCAGTTTTCTATGATGCATATGTACACCTGCTGGCACCCAATGTCATTGTCCTTCCTCTGAGATAATGCAACAGACAGCTGAGAACTACATGTATTTACTGAAGTTTGCTTAGCAAACCGCTAAATATCAAGAGAGCAATGTAATTGTACGAAACGGAGCGCATGTGTCTGTGGGCTCCATTCTAAATACCATGCATTTTTATGCTACCAGGCCATTCATTAAAAATATTCGACAAGAAAGCTAACAGCAAATATTTGGTTACATACACATAGCTAAATAAAAAATCATACCTTGTAGCTTCAGTTCCATTTTATATTGTCATTAGCAGTAACACGGAGGGGCTGGTTTACTAAAACTGGAGGGTGCAAGATCGGGGCAGCTCTGTCAGTTCTGGGGAAGCTCAATCAGCTTCCAGGTTTTAATGTCAAATCTTAATTGAACAAGCTGATGTTAGAAGCTGATTGGCTACCATGCACAACTGCATCAGATTTTGTACTCGCCGGTTTTAGTATATCAACCTCAAAGAGTATAGTGCAGTAGAAACTGCTGATAGTATTAGGTGCAAAACAGGGGTGGACTGACAACTCATGGGGCCCCCGGGCAATAGGGGATCATGGGGCCAGTGTGTCCTTGCCCACACTCAAACCACACCCAAAAAAGCCTATGAAAGGTACCAAGGGCATCTCATGGGGCCCCCTACTGACCCGGGACCCTCGGGTAGTGCCCGAGTGCTTAAATCGTCAGTCCGTCCCTGGTGCAAAATAACACTAAGAAACTTACTGCCAGCTAGCATAAGTGTCAATAGTGCATTTAATAGGTTAATTGAATAATGGTCTATGGGGTTGATTTACTAAAGGCAAATAGACTGTGCACTTTGCAAAGTGCAGTTGCACTCTTCAAGTGCAGTTGCTCCAGAGCTTAGTAAATGAGGTAAAGCTTCACTTTGCAAAGAATACCCAATCACAAGCAAGGAAAATAAAAAAGAAAACTGCACTTGCAGAGTTTAATTGCCTTTAGTAAATCAACCCCTGTATGTCTCTATATGTATTTCTCACGGCATATGTTTCCCCTTTTGCTTTGCCCGCTGTCTGCCACCATCAGGAGGAAGACATGGAGGACAGGAAGATGAAAACAGCTCCAACATTTATAGAATAAGTATCTTCACTGCATTGTTTTCTATGTAAAATTGAAACAATATTACTATGGCAATTTCACTGTGGCAAAGATAATACTCAATTTCTTAGGCATGATTGGTGTAGGGATATCGCTTTTTTTCCTTCTTTGTCAATATAATATTTTGATTAAAAATACTAACTGTACTACATAAAAAGTATTGCTTTCATTAGTTATGTCGCTTTTGTAGTTACAGTATGTCACTTTACAGAAGTTAGAAACATGTAAACTATAGCAGATTGAAACTAAAGTATATTTCTTAGTATATAGCAATTCTTTCAACAGAATACAGTGACAATTTAAAACCTCTGTAACCCTGCTTTGGCAGGTAATTGGATGAAGTGAAGCACAGACAAAGTTGATTAAATGGAATATGTTAAAAACAAAGCCTAACAAATAGTCCGATAATGTTACAGTTAATTGAAAAATAGAAGCTTGTAGGTTCTCTTTAAGGCTACATTCACATTTCTGCGACTTGTCATGCAACTTTGGATATCAAAGTCACATGACAAGTCACAGCCCATTTTATTTAATGGCACCCATTCAAATTGGTGCAATTTAAATTTGCAGCAACTTTGAAAAAGTGCCTGCACTACTTTGGTACAACTTTTGGTGCAAAACTTAGATCTATAGAGTGTAAAGTTGGATCAAATTTGTAAAGTAGCAAGTAGCATCAAAGTGATACTCCAAAGTCGCATTGGAAATCGCGTGCCTTTGTGAACCGTCATCATATTTGGCAAAAACATAACTACAGAAATGTGATATAACAAAAGGAGAACCACGCTCCAATATTATCTCGTTCTGGCATTGTATTCTGAGCCAGCAAAGCAACTACATACATACTGTCCCTATCAAAAATAATAATTCCTTAACGCGTTTCATCTCTGTAGTCTTGCTCACATGATTACCTTTTGTTTGCTAGTAAGCCTATGGTGGTGAAACTCATTAAGGAAGTGTGTTTTTTTGTGGGTGGAGATATTATATATGCAGTTGCTTTGCTGACAGCAGAATAAAATGCCAGGGCAAGATGACATTGGAATGGGTCTTTCATCCTTCTACTGTATATCTCCAAACACTGAGCAAAGAAGGGCTGCAGGAGTCAGAACCCAGATTATCTGTGGACAACAGGAGGTGTGAGGCTGGAATAGTGCTGTGGATTTGGGTATGTTGTTACAGAAATATGATGGCACTGTAAATGTTATGTATTTAGGAATTAAATGGTTAGTGTTATTTTGTACTTTTAACTGGGAGACATGGTTTGTACAATAGGGGCAATGGGGCAGGTACCTGATTTCCTGCCACATACAACAGTCCGTTCCTAATGTAACTGTAGAATAATATAGTGGTATATAAAAGAGTGTGGGGTCACTATTTGTGTACCACGTGATGACAGGATGCCTGCCCAAGGTATGTGTAGATCTATTATTCAACAATATACAAAAATGCAGTTCATACTATAAAGTATAAACTACTTATAAACTGTATATAGACATACAGGGGCTGGCAAAAGTTATGGAAACACCAGGTAAAAGAACAAAATCGTTACCTAATATGATGTTGGACCATCTTTGGCATCCTGGATGGCCTGGATTCTCCTGGGAATTGACAAATAAATCTAGGATGGTTGATAATGGAATATGATACTTCTCTTCATTCAAAAATTGTTCCAGTTCTCTCAGAGATGCCGGAGGCTGGAAAACAAGCTCAAACCTTGTTCTCCAAAATTGGCCATAGTGGCTCTATGATATTAAGGTCTGGCAACTGCAGCGCCCGAAGAAGTTGCAAGACTTTGCCTGCATGCTCATCGAACCACAATTTGGCAACACCAGCTGTGTGAATCAGAGAATTATCATCTTGGTCTTCAGGGAACAATGTCTGCACCACAGGGTGCACATGGTCAGTTAAAATGTGCACATAGTCGCTGGCAGTGATTCTACCTTTCAAGGTGATGAAGCCTTCAGAATACCAAGATACGGCTGCTCAAACCATGATTAGGTCGCCACCAATCACACAAGACAGTCCAGGTCATAAGCTTGGGAAGATGTTCGCCACAAGTAAACAAAGTGTGAAGTATGATTCATCAGACCATATTACAGTTTTCCATTGATCGATAGTCTGCGATTTATGGGTGTTACACCACTCTCTCCTCTTCTGAGCATTAAAAGAGAAGTATGGGTTTTCTTTTTTTAGCTTTAAAAAATGGAGTGTTTTGGCGCACTCCAGATGGGCTAGAATGGTCGATGCAATGTATTGATTGGGGATCAACCAATTGGGGGTACCTGATAAACAGGAAGGAGAATATACTGTGATACACTTACTTAGTTCATATGTGATTGTTAGTCCATAGGATATGAGTCCATATAAGGTTATATAAGTCCATATGTGGATCTTTCAGGGGTGAGCTTTAACTTAGAGACAGCAAGCCTACATCGAGCTAGAAGGAATATCTAAAGGCCAGCTTTGATACTGAATGATCCCATGTGATCATATGTTCCATTTAGACCTGAAAGAATTTTTCCCTTAGGCTTTTATCACACAACCAGAGTGTGCAAACCAACTTTACTGGTAAAAATGCATGCTGCGCTTGTCTTACAATCAATTCTTTTGTGCTTGGGAAGGACCCTGCATCCTATTCCACATGGAAGAAAAATATATTTGTAATATATTTTAAAAATATCCTTCCCAAATATATTGACTTATATTTGAAATGCTACAAATTTGGCCATATTTAATATAATTCAAAATATATTTCAATAAAAAAATATATATATATATATATATATATATATATACTGTATGTTGAAATGCATTTTTATTACAATATATATGAAAAATATTTTTAAAAATACATTTCAAATATACTGTATGTCTTTAAAACATTTTTGGAATGCATTTACAAATATATGTCAAATATATGTTAAAATTACTTTTTTAGATGTTAAAATTATCTGAAGAATATATTTTAAAAAAATATATTTTTAAAAAAATATATTTTAAATATGCATTAATACCAGTAATACATTCACTCTGCTCTTCACTTTCTCAGTGACTCTCTATTTTCCGGTACTGTGCTGAAAATCAAAGCCACTAAAGGCTGATCTGCTGACAGTCCAAAGATTTACTGCTGCTCAGGGGCTTTGGGCTTCAGCAAAATGGCAGGTTCTGGCTAGAAGAAACAGGAACAATACTGGAGGCATTTACAGCACACACTAATTTTGGTAGCATCATTATTAATGTGGCATGTGAGTTTCCTGCTAAAGAACATTATTTTTTATTAAGTTGGTATGGGTAAAGTTCCAATTTATATATCAGCAGACAACTTTAAATAGAAGCAAACGAACTGCAAGGGCCTTAATTAGCACTCTCGTAGTTCATTCATAAACTCTAGCAGTTTTCGAACAGTCTAGGCAAAGTACAGGCTGAAAGTTGTAGGGCTTGTCTAGAGCAGCCTGACTTTACACCCGTGATCCAGTAATCAGGGGTGCAATATTCTGCAGACTCCTGTTGGAAAAAATAATAAATGCACATTTTTTCTTCAAAAATATGCATTTATTATGTTTTCCTGAAAGCTGCATTTATCTTTTAAACTGACTGCCACTACATAAAAATTGCAAATAAAAGCAGTACCTGGAAAAAAGAAATTAAATATTTGTCTCTTCCACTGTCTGGGTAGTCAAACACTGCTGTGATGAACAGAAAAGGGAGGAATTTACTAAAACTGGTGCACACGGAATCTGGTGGAGCAATGCATAATAATCAATCAGCTACTAACTTCAGTTTATTCAATTAACTACTTGACCTCTGGAAGGTTTTACCCCCTTCATGACCAGGCTATTTTTTGCTTTTCATCACTGTGCTACTTTAACTTGCAATTGCATGGTCGTATAACACTGTATGCAAATTAACTTTTTATAATTTTTTCACACATATAGAGTTATCTTTAGGTGGTATTTGGTCACCACTGGGGTTTTTTTTTTTGCTATATAAACTAAAAAAGAATTAACATTTTGAAAAGGAAAATTATATTTTCTAGTTTTTTGTTATAAAACATATCCAATAAAATCAAATTTCTTCCGAAATTTGGGCCAAAATTCTGCTACGTCTTTGATAAAAAAAAAATCCCAATAAGTGTATATTAATTGGTTTGTGTGATAGCATCTACAAACTATGGTGTGTGTGTGTATATATATATATATATATATATATATATATATATATATATACACAGTATTTGAAAATTGATAAATCCTGATGTACTGACTGCCTCTCATTTCTTGAGGCCTTAAATTGCCAAGAACAAATACCCTCCAAATGACCCCTTTTTTTGGCAAGTAGACAGTCAAAGGTGTTTAGTAAGAAGCATGGCAAGCTTTTTGAAGTTGTAATTTTGTGTCACAATTTTTCGGAAAATGAAACATCTTTAAAAAAAATTTTTTCCACAGTTTTCTTACATACTGTTACCAGTGCAGTACAGCAGCATCATATAACTGGTGTGGCAGTAATCAGGGATACTGACTGGTGACAGTATGTTAAAAAATTAATAAATTCAATTTTTAAACATTTTTTTCAACTTTTTGAATATTTTTTTACATATTTTCATCAGAGTAGTTTTTACATCCATAACAGCTGTGATTATTATTGTGTGCTGTGATTGGCTCACAGATATCACAAGGTACAGGGTACTGTGATTGGCCTAGGTACCATGTGATAGCTGTGGGCCAATCACAGCATCATTCTATTGGAATCACAGCTGTTACGAATGAAATTCATTTATGACAGCTTTGTTGACATTGTGCTCAAAGCAGCCAGGTACCAGGAGCTGCAAAGACATATATTTATGTGATCCAGCCTGCCTGTGCTGACCGCCTGCAGTAAACGTACTGTGAGTGGGCAGCAAATGGTTAAATTTTGACAACCTTTAATCCTACAAGCTGATTGGTTACTACGCACAGCTGCAATAGATTATGTGTGTACCATTTTAGTAAAACTCACCAAAAGTGTCTTCTGAAGTCTCCTCCAAAACTGCCACTTCTGGGAGTGTTGATCTCCTGTATCCAGCACTGTGATCAGTGGTTCTTCCTGCCAACCTTACATCATTTATGCATCCTGCAATGATGAGGGGGTCAGTGAGAAGAACCATGAAGTGCAGGACGGGATAAATTACTTATTGCATAAACATGACTGCTGCAATTCAGATACAAAATTTTGTAAAAATACTAGTACAGTTTTAGCTGTTCTAAATACTAGAGGTAACAATCTTTAAGTTTCCACTAATATGAGATACTTAGCAGTGTTACGCTCCTGTTAGGAGCCCACATTATACAACATCAGACATCGTGTCACTGTAGTCAGCGTTCACTCTGCATAGAGGACAAAGGTTCTCTTTCAATGTCAGAATAAGGATGGCAAATAACTAAAGCACAAGCTAGTTGAAGTAAATCTTTTTTTGAACATCAAGCAGTAATTGATTCGGTATCCTTAAAAGCACTTCAGTGAGGCCACAGATAGGGAGCAGCAGAAAACATTGAAGCCAGGAGAGAATTATTTAGCAGCAGAGGCTTTGAGCGAAGAGCAGGCAATGTGGAGAGTGAAGAAAATCTCTCTGGGAAATTTTGTTGAAAAAAACAAAAAACCTGCAAACTCAAACTGTCACTACCTAGCTATTTAAAATGTTCTCTTTTAAAACAATATCTATACTACTGAATTTCCACATATTCTTTAACCCTCAAAAGAAAAAACACCTATTATACTTATAAACCTTCAAAAAATATACATAATTATTTACAGATTAAACTCTGCTATATGCGTTTTTACAGCCCACTTTTTTTTCTTTTGGTTTTTAGTATTCGATATTCTATGGTAAAGGGTTAGAGCAGTGATTGTCAATTTATGAGTCAAATGTGGCCCCTGACATCAACAAAGAGCTGCACATAATGTTCTTTTTTTTATCAGAAAATAACATTTATTGAAGAAACTTTAACACATTCCAGAACATTTGTGTCACAATGAAAATGTATATCAAATGAGCCTCACAAAAGACATGTACAGTGTCAACATGCACAGGTGGCAAGTACGTTCATATCTGAGCTAAAATAATCTCAGCAGTACTTATTCCCGTCATGGTAAATCCACAAACCTGACAAAGAGTGAGAGCTACAAAGATCCACTGGGTGCACAACAAACATAAGGAAGAAGACAGAATAGCATCAGGCATTACCCCAGCAATCTGTTCATAACCAGCTCTACTGGTGCCAGGCCAGGCAGAGCTATCCATCCATCCATCCCATACTCTGTCAAACTTGGCGGGGCAGCCGATAGTCGGTAGATAACCTTTTTATACCAGAGATTGGTACCTATATGTGCAATCCATTCCTGAAGGGAAGGAGGGGGGGAGCTTTAAAAAAAAAAACTCTTTTGGGACCTGGAACAGAGCTCTGAAGACAGCCTCCTTATTGAGGGTATCAGATACCTCATCATCTAAAATGACGAGCACACATTGTATGGGGTCGGAGTTAGGTTTGCACCAATACCATTTTTTTAAACATGAGTATGAGTAACATTACTTTTTTTAAAGTACTCGCTGATAATGATTACCGATACCAATTGCCTAGGAAGAGTAGAGGGGGTGGGGGGGGGTGTTAATGAGTTGGAGTGTTAAACTGGGGTGGTAGAGGAATAAGAACTAGAAAAGCTACAATTTCTGGGGAAATTGTGTGAAGTGTTCTTGCCTCCACCAGTAGTCTACAACTCACACTCTAGCGTTTGTCACTCTGCTGCCTGCTCACACACCTGGGTTCCTATGGAAACTCACTCTACAGCAAGGGCAGAGAAGAGCGGTTAAAAACAAACTGCTCCAACTTGCTCACTTCACTGCACTTCACTGGCGGTTGCCACCTTCAAACAGTTGTAGTTTAAAAACTATAAACCCTACACTGAAGAGCTTTATGTTGTGAGAATCACAAGACCCAGACCTACATTTTGATGCATAGTATATCTCTGAAATATTAAAAATGAAGGCACAGTCACAGTTTAGAAATTGCCCTTCAAATTTGAGGTGGCTAGAGTGGAGTTTCAATGAATGTCAATGGGCGGCATGAGTTGCAAACAAATGGTCATATTGTGAAAACTATCAGGACTATGGCTTAGCCATGGACATTTCTAGTGGCAACAGGGATAGCTGAACGTTTTGATTTGTGTAGGTGGGCTTGAAAATGAGGGAGTGATGGCAGTTTAGAAATCATGTCCTGATTTTTCAGCTTACACTCTAGCTTTTGTCAGCTCCCACTCTAGTTTTGAACATTTACGCCATTCATTCCTATGGGACCAATTTCACCACAAAAACACAGATATTTCGTGAACCATTCGGCGAAACGTTCCACGAAGTAATAGCACACCAATCGGGAACAATCCGCACGTTTCAGTATATTACTGTCTATGTAGTGTAAAAACTGTGGGAGGAGTTAGGGTGGTAAATTTGGCTATATAATAATAAGAATATATATGTGAGATAACAGTAAGTGGTCTTGCCATGCAAGAACACTTAATTAATGGCACCCACACATGTCTGCAAAAGACAGCACATTTTTGTGTTACTGCACTGCATTTTTGGTGTGAATGAGCCCTAAAATGTATTCTGTGTTCAGTTGTCTGTAGGTTGTAAAACCCCCTCACCTCCAAATACCCTCTCTTAGCACAACCCCCACCTTTACATTCAGGTCTGAGTGATCCTCTGTTAGCTCCTGTGCTACATGAGGCGGAGAGTACTGTAAAGTTCTGTGTACAGAAGAGGCAGAGATCTCAGCTCGCACCTCCCCTGCTCTCTGCTCCTCTCTGTACTCTTACCATCCAAACAGAAAGCTGAGCCTACCAACCAGGGCAGACTGACAACTCATGGGGCCCCCGGGCAATAGGGGATCATGGGGCCCCTTCGTCCTTGCCCAAACTCAAAAAAGCCTATGAAAAAGGTACCAGGGTCATCTCATGGGGCCCCCTACTGACCCCGGGCCCGAGTTTCCAAATGGTCAGTCCGCCCCTGCTACCAACAGAGGACTTGCCGGCAAGAATACCGAGAAGAGCAGAGAAAGGGGAAGGTGCGGGCTGAGCTCTTGGCCTTTTCTGTACACAGGACTTTATAGTGCTCTCTGCCTCATGTAGCACAGGAACTAACAGAGGATTGAGGATCACTTAGATGGATAGATAACTATTGCAGACATTCTTCTTTTACATTTCAGCTTTCAGCAAGTGATTCCCGCTAACAGCTGAAATACCATCAGTTGTCAAGCACACAGCGGCCGCTCTCCTTAACAACTGATAATTGCTGGCATTCTTTTGTGTAAATTTCAGCTGTCAGCAGGGGAATCCCGCTTACAGCTGAAAGAACCAAACCTAAAGGTATCGATTTGTAGTATTGGAGCATTTGCATGAGTGTAAATGCTTACTATTTGCAACCCTAGTAAGAGTTATTTAAAATGCCTGACTGAGGATATGTACAACATTATCCCATTATATGTGTAGCTTGGGACATCTCCACAACATGTGGATTCAATCCGAGTGGTCCTTATAACATTTAGGACATATCGGATCTGCCAGTAAGCCAATTTTACACAATTTGAGAGGTGAACAGTGAACCCTTTGGAAACTCAGAGAAGCCAGCAAATAGAACACTTTACCACCATTCACCTGATGGGAGTCAGAGCAAAGGAGTTTCTCTCCAGATTTCAGTCCCTTTGGCTTAAGCTGTCTATTGACAAGGGACTGCTATCCACTACTTACAGTTGCAAGAAAAAGTATGTGAACCCCTTGGGATTACGTGGAGTTTTACATGAATTGGGCATAAAATGTGCTCTGAACGTCATCTAAGTCACAACAATAGAAGAACACAGTCTGCTGAACATAATACTACACAAACATTAGATGTTGCCATGGTTTAATTGCAATAACATGTAAACATTCACAGTACAGGGAGGAAAAAGTATGTGAACCTATGGACTTAATAACTGGTTGACCCTCCTTTGGCAGCAACAACCTCAACCAAACGTTTCCTGTAGTTGCAGATCAGACCTGCACAATGATCTGGAGTCATTTTGGACCACTCCTCTTAACAAAACTGTTTCAGTGTAGCAATATTCTTGGGATGTCTGGTGTGAATCGCTCTCTTAAGGTCATGCCCACAGCATTTCAATCGGGTTGAGGTCAGGACTGACTGGGCCACTCCAGAAGGCGTATTCTGTGCTTTTGCAGCCATTGTTTTGTTGAATAACTTGTATGCTTTGGGTCATTGTCCTGTTGCATCACCCATCCTCTGCGGAGCTTCAGTTGGCGGACAGATGGTCGTCTGTTTTCCTGCAAAATGTCTTGATAAACTCTGGAATTCATTTTCCCATCAATGAAAACAATCCGTCCAGGCCCTGAGGCAGCAAAGCAGCCAAAAACCATGATGCTCCCTCCGCCATGTTTTACAGTGGGGATGAGGTTTTGATGTTGGTGTGCTGTGCCTTTTTTTCTCCACACATAGTGTTGTGTGTTCTTCCCAAACAACTCAATCTTGGTTTCATCTGTCCACAGTATATTTTGCCAGTAGTGCTGTGGAACATCCAGGTGCTCTTTTGCAAACTTCAAACGTACTGCAATATTCTTTTTGGACAGCAATGGCTTCCTCCGTGGTGTCCCTCCCATGTACTCCATTCTTGTTTAATGTTTTCCTTATTGTAGATGTGTCAACAAAAATGTTAGCATGTGCCAGAGATTTCTGTAGGTCTTTAGCTGACACTCTGGGGTTCTTCTTTACCTCATGCAGCATTCTGCGCTGTGCTCTTGCAGTCATTTTTACAGGACGACCGCGCCTAGGGAGAGTAGCAACAGTGCTAAACTTTCTCCATTTGTAGACAGTCTGTTTTACCGTGGACACATGAACATCAAGGCTTTTGGAGATACTTTTGTAACCCTTTCCAGCTTCATGCAAGTCAACAATTCTGGATCGTAGGTCTTCTGAGAGCTCTTTTCTGCAAGGCATGGTTCACATCACACAGTGCTTCTTGAAACCAGTAAACCCAAAACAGGTGTGTGTTTTTTTAAGGGCAGGACAGCTGTCAGCAACACTTCCAATATCATCACACTGATTGGAGTCAAGGTTGGCTCACTCCTGGTTCCAATTAGCTCTGGGAGAAGTCATTCAGCTAGGGCCTCACATACTTTTTCCTCCCTGCACTGTGAATGTGTACATGTTATGTGCAATTAAACCATGGCAACATCTAATGTTTGTGTAGTATTATGTTCAGCAGACTGTGTTCTTCTATTGTTGTGACTTAGATGACGTTCAGAGCACATTTTATGCCCAATTCATGCAAAACTCCACGTAATCCCAAGGGGTTCACATACTTTTTCTTGCAACTGTATAAACTTCTGAATCATGGGTCTTAGATTTCTTAGAGAGTGGGAGAAAGAGCTAGAGTGCCCTTTTACAGATTTTCAGAAATGCTCAGTTCTGAGACTGACACACATTTCCTCTACTTGTACTAAAATACAAGAGGCGAATTACAAACTAATAATGAGGTGGTATACAGTCCCACAGTTTGAAGCATTAGTGTACTCCTCCGTCTCAGATAGATGTTGGAGAGGGTGTGGTCTGCAGGAGTCACACCTGTACATCTGGTGGGAGAGTCCAAGGATCAGACCATTGTGAGCTGAAATAAGAAAATTGATTGGATATCACTATTCTTCTAATTCATGACAACCCGGAGCAATGTCTCTTTCATGCCACCCACACCTCTGTCAGGCCGTATAAGAAAAGTATTGTTTCCAACTTACTAAATGTTTCCAAGGGTTTAATCCTAACGTATTGGAAAAATACTCAGATGCCCTCAGTAGAGCACAGGATTAAGCGTGTTAATGGTATTATGAAGGCAGAGGAATCGATACATACATGTATCGACAAATGTTTAAAAAGAAGGCAACTTGGATACACTTTACAACTTCCAAATGGAGCCAGCCATCATTAACCATATGCATTGATAATGTACATGTAGGAATCTGTATGGTTGTCATGTCTTAGTATCTTAGTGATATTCCAGATATATGGAATTAACTCCTTTAGCCCCATCTCACTTACCTCTTCCAGACCATCCCATCTCCCAGAATTCCACCTTTCTCATTTTGGTTTTCTGTACACTGAACATATGTTACATGTGCTGTTCTGTGTAGTTTCTTGAGAGGAGACAAAAGATTTTAGCTCACCTACTATATTACTTTGCTGCCTTGATTTCTGTTCTCCATGACCAATATGTCAATTTGAGTACTTGGTGGGTATATTTTAAATGTTTTAATACTTTATGTTCAGTGTACTTTCACAATTCATGCCCGGTACTGTTATTGTACAGTAGCTTTTTGTGCTTTTTGACTATACTCTTGTCTGTGTCCCGCTAAGGTCAGAATTTATGTACAATTTTTATGCTGATACCTTCGCATTACTGAAAACTGTAAAATAAAGGATTATATTAAAATCTAACACTGTTATATTTAATTAATGTAGATATAAAAATCTTTGCCTAACAAGTTGCCATCAGGTTTCATACATATATCACCTAGAACGAGTAGACTTTGTTCTCCGATGAAAAGCACTAGATAACACCATAAAAACTCTATCACTGTTACATTTTGCTTCACAACAGAAGCTCCCCCTGCGTCTTTTATTCATCAATGCCAAAAAGGAAATTGATTGCCTTGACTGGAGGTTCATTAAAGCCAACCTCCAACAACTTAGCAAACCAGATCCCTTTTTGAATAAAATCATGAACCTGTAAGACTCCTACTCGAAGTCTTAAGATCCGTGTGAATAGTCATCCACCTTAACTGACCTGCATACTTAGCAGGACATACCATGGATACCTCTTCTCACCACTCCTTTACATCCAGTCCATTGAGCACTTGGCTCAGATTATTTGTGCCAACAACTATATTCAAGGAACAGTGATAGGTGATGCCTATATGCTCCTCAATATATCCAACCCTTGAAAAGCTCCCTTCTCTTATACGTGAGTTAACAAATTCAACTCACAAAAATCAATAGCACTTGACATATTTCTACCTCCCGGAAAATGATCACACTTAGCCAACACCTTTTCCTTTCACAGGGCCTCCAAATCTATACATTACCTAGGAGTGCAGATACCCTTAAACAGCGGCAACTCACAAAAAAAACCTGCCACATCTTCCACAGATGGCACAGGGAAATTGGCTCACATTGAGGCATATAATGCCTCTTACGGGTTTTTTTCCCACTTTATCCCAGCAGGCAAGCCAAGTTGGAACAGCCTATATCCCCATAGGAATTATTAGTTACAGTAACGTCTTTGCCAATGGAAAAAGCCCAGGGCCTGATGGCTTTACCAAGGCTTAATATCTAAAATTCTTTGCCCAACTTTAGTCTCCCATGTGCCATTACTTCAACTCCAGTTGATCCAGGAAATATCCGATTGCCTCTTGGGGGATCAGGAAGGAATATTTTCCACTGCAGGAGCCAATTATATCATGCTTTGCTGGGTTTTTTGCCTTCCTCTGGATCAACTGTGGGTGTAGGATTAAAACTTTTTTTTTTTTTTTTTTTTTAAATGATTGAACTGGATGAACTTTTGTCTTTTTTTTTCAGCCAGGCTATGTAACTATGTAATTATGTAACTCTCTGTCTTCGAAGGGCTAAATTCCTTCAGGGGCCCTTCTGGCACATGTCACGGTACTTCTGAAAGAAGGAAAGACCATTCTCTCCCACAGAATTATTGCCCAATATCACTACTTAAAGCAGTAGTAAACCCCAGCTGGAGGAAAAAAAAAATCCCCTGGAAGGTATACTAGCATATTATGCAGGATTTACCTTAAAACGAAGCCCTCCAGCGGTGCGGTGTCCCCACTTCAGAGGCTTCCATCTTCACCCAGTCTTCCTTCTGGGTTCGTGAGTCCTGGCCGCTGGACTGGCTGAGCTTCACTGATGGCACTCCCATGCATTCGCCCGGAAGTCTCGGGACACAGCACAGTGCTCTGAAGGAAC